ATTCATTCCCTGTGAACTTTTCCCCATTGTGCTGTTATGCAGCCACTAACTTTAAATTACCTTTCACAGGATCTCAAGTGATAGAAGCACCTTTTGTGTTCGTCTCTACCGGCTTTGCAAAAATCCACAGACAAAAATCTTTACTCATTCGCTGTTGCAAAGAATCTCAGGCTCAGCCAGACTGGACCTCTGAACAGCACTTTTCGAGTCTTTCCACCAACTCTGAATCGCTTTTAAGTGATTTCTAGAAGGGATCCAGAAACACGAGCGGTATAAATGTTTGACATTTGTTTTGTGCCGCTCAGATGCTGAAGAAGATTTCCTCCAAAGAAGCTCTGGAGGACCAATCCACGGCCGAGCTGGACGCGCTGAAGCACAGAGACTGGGTAAGACGAGGCGACAGAGTTCACAGAAAGGACAACGGCAGCGCTGTGTGTCTGAGCGGGTGCGGGCGGAGCCGTCACGCTGACAGAACCAGATGCGTTTCTGTTGTTTCCCACACCACCAGGCTCGTCTGTGGGTGCAGCTGATGAAGGAGCTGAGGCAGGGGGTGAAGCTGAAGAAGGTCCAGGAGCAGCCGTTCAACCCGCTGCCCACCGAGTTCAGCCTGACGCCCTTCGAGATGCTGATGCAGGACATCCGAGCTCGCAAGTTCCAGCTTCGCAAAGTCATGGTGAGAGTCGACGGCTTCAGCTAGCGCTGCGATCGAGGGGGAAGAGTTCAAACTTTTTACTGGAACTACAGAAGAGCTGCTGGGGGAATAAAGATGCAAAATAAAGAGACATTTTAGTTTTTGGTTCATGTCTAAAAGCTAAATAACGAATGTAACTTCTAAATTGGAAATGTGAAGAAGGTTCACCAGAAGTGTTTGTTATAAAAACGCTCAATCTTAGCCTCATCCAACAGAAGCATCAGTCCCAGAGGAAGCCTCGGAAGTGTTTAGTAAACACCTCATGTTGTGAGGACACGAAAACCTTTTCCTGGAATACACTTCAACCTACTAGGTGGCATATAGATATGTTTTCTGCAGCTCTCTGAAACTGAGCTTTTCTCTTACCTCTGACTTTTTACCTAATCTTCTTCATGCGCTGCACACCAGACATGTCTGCCAGATCAAACCAGGGCAGGATGAGAGTGAAAAGGAAAAAAGAAGAGCAAAGAATCTAGTCTAACAAAAGGGAGAAAAGAAAAAAAGACAAAAGCAAAAGAAAAGAAATGGAAAAGAAAGAATAAAGCATCAACGACAAAAAAAACAAATTCAATTATCTATAATTTATTGCTTGGATATTATAAAACATGTGAACTGGAATTCATTCTGATTAGGGCCTCATTCAGCTTTAGTGCGGCTCTTCAGCGTCTTTAGCAGAGATTCCCATGAAGTCCACAATGTGATATCAGTACAGAAGCTAAAACATCAGCTAAGAGGAGATAATTGTTAGAAATCTCGCATAAAAATTCAATCCAAGAAGCACAGAGGACAGAAATTAACGGTAAAACAAAAATCAAAGATCCAACTTTCTAGCCTTGTAGCAACTAAAACTGATACAAACAGGCTAAAAACAGCCGGAGTTCATCAACTTAGACATGTTGAGTTCAGTTTGTTTGCTATAGATACTGAACACCTAGATCAACCTTCAGCTTACACAGTTTTACAGCAGCTAACTTAGCGCAGTTAGCTGATTTGGGCTTCAAATCATCCCCAACAATGTTATCCACAAAAGAAAAAAATAAATAAAATAAAAATTTTAAAGACAATTGCTGGGAGATGTTTTCATCACCAGCTGGCAGAGCTTCAGGTGAGGCAGGAAGACGCTGAACTCAGACCCAGAGAGCAAACGGTGATGGTGTGGTGGAGTTAGCCTGGAGGCCTTCTCCACGGCTAGATGCATTATTCAGCTCAGCGACACAAATATTAATGAAACCCTCCCGCCTTCTGTTGTTCTGGCCGCATTGGAGGGTTTTTTTTATTTTTATATATATATAATTGCTTCAATGCTGAAAGCGGTGTTCAGCTGTTACTGTTTTATGGTGTTTGTACATCAACACAGAGTCGCGTTGTGTGAAGCTACAAATCACAGCTAATGCTGCTCATGTGTGCTTTAAAGAGCCTGGTGTCTTTAAAGCTGTCAGAGGCCTAAAAGTCAATTATTGAAGCTTCAACATAACATTTTTTTGTTGCAATTAGATGTTGTTGTGATGTAATAGTGGGTGACTGTATGATTTTTTTTGTTGCTGTTGTTGTTTTTAGCGTTCCCTAAGTTGACGTTGTGTTTCCTGCCTTGTAAAGGTGGACGGTGATATTCCTACCAGAGTGAAGAGAAGCGCCCATGAGCTGATCCTGGACTTCATCAGATCCAGACCTCCTCTTAAACCTGTAAGTGGATCCATTTGCAGGATCAATTACAACCTATTACAACAAACGTCTACGTATTTTATTGGGGTTTTGTTTCGTAAACACAAAGTAGAGCTGAAAGTAAATGATGCAGATAAAAAAAAAAAAACTTTAACTCTTCAAAAATGTTTTGCAATCTGTACTTAGAAGAAGCTGCTGCTTGAAGTTGCAGGTCTTTTGCGGACATGTCTCTTCCTATTTACAAATCTACAGCTGAAGTTTGTTGCTTTTTACTCTCTTAGCTGAAGATTTGGCAGATAGATTCTGTTTTCTATAGACGAACCTCTGATCCAATCTCAAGTCTAACATGTTCTAAGATTTTCTTGTTATAAGTGAAATAATCTGCCAGTGAAACTAGTAAGTTTTCATCAATTTTAAGAAATTGTTCACTTGAAAAAAGTTCTTACTCCTTTAGAAGTTTATTTTTAAGTAAGTTTTGTCTTACTTCAAGTGCACTGCGATATTTGCTCTAGAAACTAGACGGTTTGTGGTTGTAACAAGAGAGAATCTGGAAAAGTTTTAGGGGTGTGAAAACTTTACCGTTGCTTTTTGTATAAATAGGACAACTTTGTCTGGTGGAAAATCTTGGTTTCTAGTGGGGTTTTTTTGTTGTTTTTTTTTGAATGAGCAGATGTGGTGAAATATTTTCTTCTGCTTAGGTCTCAGAGCGCAGCCTTCCTCCTCCTCCTCCGCGGGAGCCTTCGCTTCATGACCGGATTCTGGCAGAGATCAAGCAGGAGAGGAAGCTCAGGCCTGTGGTGCCGCACACCGCCAGGCGTAAGAGCCAAACTTTTATGTTTTCACCCTCTGAAGTATCGTACAAAATGTTGATTCCAGTTTCGAGGCATTAAACGGCATAATCCGTTAATGCATCACACCAAGAGGAGAGAGACAAAGTATGATAAAAGAGCTTAAAGGAAAAAGGTAGTAAAAATATCTGAAGAAAAAAAAAATAAATGACTGTGTCTCAGGTTTGGTGTTTTGGTCTAAAAAGGTACAAAATCTACTCTTTAAAAAGGAGATTCTGTTCCTGACATGATTTAAATTGACAAACGTCTTTTGGATTCTGCAACCCAGAGACATTAATTCTGCAGCCACATTTAGAAGTTCAGGTTGATGTTTGTCTCCCTAAAGAAGAGCACCAGAACGGGAGCTGAAAGTTGCTGAATTTTAATTAAAATGGTGAACTCTACAGGAAAATGTTTACTGAGGTTCAGTGACAGTTTTGCATGAATGGCACCCCAGAGGAGGCGCCTCCTTCTGCTGCCTGAAACGAGTTTTTAATCCTCTAAGCTAATTTAAAAGGCATCATTCTGGTGATGTTCACCATTTTACAGCCACACGTGTCCACAAACAGTAAACCCGTTATTATGATCACATGGGCAGCCGCTGAGGTGATCAATCATTAGGTTTGAATTGTACTGGATCTGAACTGTGCATGTATTGATCTGAATTGATCGTCGCTCTGTATGTTGATAAAGTGCTTTGAGAAGAAGACGTTCATTTTGAATTGTAGATAAAGTGAAGTGATTTAAACCTGAATTTAATTTTCCATAGACTTTTACGCACATTTCTAATAATGTGTCACCTCCTCCTGGCCATCAGATTAAATGCAACTAAAAACAACTTCTATTGGCTCCAATTGAAGCCTTCCTACATGTAACTTAGATTATGACAGATTTAATTGGTTGTATTTTAAATTTATTCTCTTATAAGTTTTGACATGCCTTTCCATCACTGTTTTCTGTCTTTTTGAGTCATTTTAAGTAGAATCATAAGGTAGACCTGAACACTGATATGATAATGCCTTTCTGTTTATAGTTGCAGACACTTTGCTGATACATGGTGTCAAATTTTACAAATACTGATCAGCTATTTCCAGATGAAGGTCGGCTAGTTTGTCCTTTTTGTGGGAGAAAGAACATAAATAACAGGACAGATGCACTTTAAAGCTGCCAAGTCTTAAAAAACATAAAGTAAAACGATCCGATTCTTATAAAGGCCTTATTAGTTACGCACAGCAGAGAAAATAATATTTCAATCAATTAATCGCAGACACTCCTGAGCTCCACTGCCTCTGTGACGAAGAAAACAATCCTGACCTTCTGATTATGTTAATTTCACAATAAAATAAAATAATAATAACTAGCCTTTAATTCAGCAAATGTGACTGTTCCTTCAGCCTTCACTAAGAAGTAAAGAAGTAAGAAACAAATATGCAACCATTTAGAAACTATGAAGCTAATCGGTTCAACAAAAAGCAACCAGTTCATAAAATCTACGTTTTCTGTTGATTTCTTGGACTTAATTTCTTTATCTTAGCAACATTCATACTAAATGTACTGTTGCACTTTATATTTCACATTATATATATTCATCACCATATAAAAGCTCTCACCAACAAACAGAAATTTTATTTTTTTTTGCATCACATTACGTCTGTTTTTGACTGCTTCTTTTAAGCGGTTCCATCTTCGAATGAGAACATTTCGTCTTATTGAGGTGACCTGTGTGGGCCAGGAGAAACCTGAGTAGAAAAGATGAAATAAAGTTGAACAAAGTTTGCATATTATTAAGAAAGCATCAGTAACACTGGTCATGTTTTGTTTTAGTAAACAGAACAGAAGACGCTTCAGTTTTATTACTTCCTTCTTTTGTTTTTTGTAATGAAAGAAAAGCAAAATGAGTGCCTACCCCAGATGTCAGTTACAGATGGACAGAGTAATGCCCAGGTTGGCATTAATGTTTTAGATGAAATGAAAATGAGAAATGCATTAGATTTCTGTGACCCACTTATTAAAAATGCAGCATCTACAGTCACTCTGATGTCGCCGAATGATTGCGATAATGAGCTCCAGATGCCGGAGTTGCACACGAAGCACGTCTGAGCTTCCCCCTGCCTTCACCATCTGAGAGCTCCTGGCTCCCCCCTAATGCTGCGTCTGCTTCTCTTCTCTCAGCATTCGGCTCGCTGCCCTGTCTGGCTCAGACGTGTCCTTGCAATGTCAAATCTACGTCATGCATCGATCTGTCTGTGTCGGAGCCCCGGCCGTCGCTGCGGCCTCGCATCCTGCTCAAGGCCCCGACGCTGGCGGAGATGGAGGAGATGAGCATCTCTGAGGTGGGAAAAGACCCATCGGCAGTCGCTCGTTTTGATTCTGTGTTTCTCTCACTCTTGTTCCTTGCACTGGTGGGTTTAGTTTCTTCTCTGCGGAGAGGTGAATCCTTTTTTTTATTATTATTTTGGACAAAGAGAAACATTTTTATGCAGATTTAGTTATTTGTAAAATATCAAACCTGTAAAATTTAGGATCGCACAAACACCCACAACATCCAGACTAAAGATATTTCTTCCATCTGAAAGGTCTTAATGCTTGTTTTCTTCTTTTTTTTGACATATGTAATAACGTGTTGTAAATGTTGGAAAACTACCTTGGATACTTGATCAATTTTTTTTTAGAAAGTCTGCTTCATATTTTGTTTTTGAAATTTGCAATTTAATGAAGACAAATTGCATGGAATTGTCATTGTTTGTTTTAAAAAGCAGGATATGAATTTGAATGTATATTTATTATTATTATTATTAGAGGCAAAGGTTCGGGGACTGCTGATTTAACTGGTTGTTAGTCACTTGGGATTGCGTTCAAATTGCTTCAGTGCTTAAAAAAAGATAAATATATACCCTCATGTGTCTTTCAATTAATAAAAACTACAACTAAGAACTTAAATAATTACCTTTTATAGTTTTCAACAGTATTGCAGCACAAAATGTCTGAACACAGACCTATGAGATATTAGCAGATTTTTGTAATAACTTGAATAAAATATCAGGTGATAAAGAAAAACATTTAATTAAATCTGTAGGCAGTAATTCTACTGATTTACTGTGTTTTTTGGGGGTTTTTTTGTTTTGTTTTTTTGCAATCATATATTGATTTTTTAGACACTGTCTTATTGTTAAAAACCTAGCAGATTGGCTTAAATGTGTTGGCACTTTTAGCTCAAAAGTTCCATTTTTCTCAGACATGACTGAAGAAAACATGCTAAACTTTGCACATCCATTACCTAAACTATGTGCTAGTCCTGTTGATCCCCCAAACCTAGATCTATTTTGCAGTGTTTGTTCAGCATCTATTGTACATCTTTCACTTGAAAGAGAATTTAAGTTTAACCAGAGATAAATTCACACTAAACATTTATAGTTACAATGTAAAAATAAGTTAGATGGAGGTCAGTAACCTGAGATGTAGAATTTTGATTTTAAAAAATATGCTACATTGTAGCATAGATAAATAAATGTATAATTTTGTTATTTTTTTTCATGCTATTCCAACACTGTGTGTAATAATATCCATCTTTCGTTGAACCCTGGCAGGAAGAGGAGTCCCCGGACAGCGGGGACATGAGGAGGACTGAGAGCTCTCCGGCGCCGCTGAAAAGAGACCGATCGTTTTCGGAGCAGGACCTGGCCTTCCTCCGCGGGGACATGCTTCCCTCGCTGTCGGAGTCAGCCCAGCTGGGCGAGACGGTCAGACTGCAGGACGTGAGGCCGCGGTCCAGAACGCTGACTGGTGCCGGAGCGCCTCCTTATCACCGAGGTCTGATGGATTTTCACTCACCAAATATCTTTAGATCAATGAACGGTTTGTGGCTGAGGAGATTTTAAACAACAAAGCTTTTTAGACTTTTATTGGTAAAATGTTTTAAAACTGCATTAGGATTTTTTTTTTTTTCTACTAATATGAGCCACATTGTGTTGATCTACAACATAACATTCCCAATAATATTTCTGAAGGTTTTGTCGTAATGTGGGGAAAAAGTGAAACCGTCTCAGCAGTGTGAATACTTTTGCGAGATAGCAGGACTAGTTAGAAACTCAAATCTTTTTGTGTCTCAATCACAGCCAATTCAGAGATGTGCAGCCATTAAACTCTCCTGCCCATCTGCATCTTGACTCGCATCTGAAGCTTGTTGGAGTGTTGCGGCCCCTTTAATTTGGCTGAAAGGAAGATTGGGAAACCCAGCTGTTTGCTCTCAGCAGCAGTTTCAATTCTCCTCCTTTAGAGGGAGACAAAGCATCAGAAAGCAAATCCAGGTGTTCGTGATGCATCTTCGTTCTGCAAAGGGAAATAAAAACATGACATCACTGGATGCAGTGAGACATGAAAAATAAGACAAAAGATGGACAAATTTCCAAAAATCTGCTTAAGAATTAATCTGAGATTTATGAAATTTAGGTTTTTTTGTTGTTGTTTTTTTTTTTTTTCAGTTCAATTGACTTCAGTAAAGATATGTTGGCTGAAGCCAAACAGAGGCTTAAATTGTTTCCCTGTTTTTACCTGCCGGCTTTACAAAAGCACAGCAATTAAAGTTTGGACAGAACAGAAAGTTATTTTAGGTATAGAATAAACACCAGTTAAAGAAATGTTCAAGTAAACTTACTCGAATAACCATTTTTTTCAATTCTGCACACTGTAAAGCATCACTGGGAAAACAATAGGTTTATATTAGTTGGTTAACAACAGCTTGACTGACATGCAGTTGTTAGCTTGACAAGTATAGGATTTTAAAGCTGCAGTACATCAGTAAGAGGGAGAGGTGGCGCTCCGTTATCTTCTATGACATGACTGAGTTTTTCTAAACACCCATATTTTTCTTCCTAATGAAATGAAGGGTTGTTGCTTGGCTACCAGAGTACACAGAAAGAAATACTAAACTATAAATGCACAGGCACACTTATTTATTTACTTAAATATATTTATAGGCTAGCGAGGGAAAACTGTGGCAATATGGAAAGTCATTTTGGATCATTTTCATCAGCACCGACTAGTGACTCTGTCCTCAGATTTTGACTTTGAGGTTAATGGAAAAAGGGGAAATTTGTCACACTCAGAAAAAAACCATGTTTTCTTTAGGTTGCATATGCAAAATTAAGAACTTAAGATGAACATATTAGAGCAACACTGTGCAAAAACTTTAAACCAAAGCAGCTGAAGACTTCAAAATATGTTGGAAAGCCTGGAAAAAAAAATAAGAGTGTGGTGGCGGTAAACGCCATGTGGCGTTCATTCGACAAACTTTCCAGTGGTTCTAAAAACCGGAGAATTAATGTTCAGCATGACCTTCCATGTAGCAGTCATATTTCAACCAATTACCTGGCAGTGTTCAGAAACACGTGGGGGAGGGGCAGCTCTGTAACTCCTTATCCCAAACAGTGAAATTTAAGCTCTTATTCTGTGCTGGAACTATATATTTGTTAGGTAACCAGCCCAGCAGCAAACCCACTGTTTTTACTACAAACGTCACACTTTATTTCCTCCATTTCTGACTTGGGCTGGACACAATTCGGAATAATTTGGTGATTTTCGAAGACATTACGTCGCTGCTGCCTCCGTTCTCTGCTTCAAGCACAAAAAGTTATTAAATTACTGCTGCTTCGCTGAAATAAGAGCCTTTTCTCTCCACGCTGGAACAGCAGCCACTGACGGGGATCAGATCAGCCCTGCGGATGCTAACAGACGTTTGATGGATTGTAATTGGATAAAAAAAAAAAAAAAAGATGTGCTGATAAAGTCAGACTGGGCGATGGGGCTTCAGCAGCGAAGGTTCGGCTCGATGGCAACAATTTGTGCACTAACAGCCTCGCCGTCTGAAAAACGATCCGGGTCCTCTCCCAGCTTTCCGCACAGCAATCCGCAGAGGTTCATCGTGTAGTACTCAGCCCTGCCAGCAGGGGGGCCCCTATGCTTAAGCTGGGGGCTGTGTAGGGATGTAAGCCTGTAAGCTGCATCTGTCGTCAGCAGTTGATCCAAATTGTATGTACGGATGATGTTTGCTGGCCTGTCTCAGCCGTCTTCTCGGCCTGTTTGAGCCAAATCGATGGCCTCCGTCTGCAGCAGCAGAGAGGCACCCAGTTTGAGCCGTGTGACGGCCGCCCGCCCCGCAGACGAAGCAGCACGGGCCAAATCTCTCTCCTGAAATCAGATTAATAATACACGACGGCTTTAGAGGAGTTCGCCGAACGGTGTACGGCGGCTGAGATCTGAGATGGCGCCGAACGACAGAGGCTGATGGGTAATTCATGGAGTAGTTAGGCCGGTACATGTGCCTTCCTCATGCAGTCTCAGCTGCACAACCCCTCCACCTCTCTGTATTTTATTCATCGTTTCCTTCTCGCTGACTTTGAATCCGTTTCTCCACGCCCAGCTTCCTTCCCCGTCTACGGCTGGGCGCCGCCGTCTCCCGCTCGCCTGTCTCTGAGTTCGGTCGACGAGGCCACGGAGGGCCTCGAGACGACAACGGACTCCAGAAGCGGAGACCAGTGGATGGTGAGATAAAAAAAGATGGTGAAGAGAGAACACCGTGAAGAGTTAGATTCAGCATTGTGTCTTTCAGACCTCCATTTTTTTCCGAATAAGTGAGAAGATAAAGCTCAGATGAAATGGTTAAAACCTCTAATCCATCCGTCTATCAATCCAATCTGATCCACACACACACACACACACACACACACACACACTGTGGCAGTAACGGATCAGGACCTAATTCAAAAACATTCCCCTTCCCATTTGTTTTTTTTTATTATTATTATTACTATTAAATGTTATTTCACCAGCAAAATCCCACTGACATAAAAAAATCTCTTTCACAAGAGAGTCCTGGCCGAGTCTGGCAACAGCACACAAACTTTACTGAACATTCACAGCAAAACAGGAAACGTTAACGTCAAGGAACTGGTTAAAACCCAGTGACGTTTTTTTTTTGTTTTTATTTGGACATCCCAGTGAGTTCCAAGACCAGAGTAGATCTACTAGGACTGACCCACGTTTTGGATCACTTCCTCTAATGGAAGACAACCAAAGAGCAATATAATTACAGGTTCAAGTGACCCTAACTAACCCAGTGGCTCTAATCTGACATCTCTCTCTACATAGAGGATGTTAAATTATATCCTCAGTCTTGATCTTGGTCTTCTAATATTTTGGTGGACGTTTAAATCCGGAGCTTTGGCTTCTGTTTTTCAACATAATCGGTCTAAGAAACGCTCCGATCTCTCCGTCGTACCATCACTCTTAAAGAAGACGCCAAGATGCTCGAACCTTCCCTTGAGGCAGGAGATTAACCCCAATCTGGAGGAAGAATCCAGATTTTTCTGGTATAGATCCATGACCTCTGACTTGAGCTGACTCTCTTCTTGGCCACTTCCCAAACGGCTGCAGACTCTTAGCAGAGCCTCATCATCTGTATAAAGTAAGGATCAGGATGTCCTACTGAGATGCTGTTCATGAAAGCAACTAGTGCCGCAGGAATGCTGATGCACGTTCTGCAACGTGAACAATAACTTTACAGGTTTAGAATATCCTCTTTATTACGCCTTCTGAATATATTTATCGTTGAACTCGTACGTTCGTGTGTTTATCCTCCGTTTTTCCTCAGGAGGAGTTCAGCCACCCCGTTGAGAGTCTGGCCCTTACGCTGGACGAGATCATCAACGTGCGTCGAGTACTCGTCAAGGCAGAAATGGAGAAATATCTTCAGAGCAAGGAGTTGTACAGCAACCTGAAGCGAGGAAAGGTAGCAGCTCTGGTTTCCTCGTCTCCTCTGCTGTGTTTGCAGTGAATGCCGTCGGTATTTACTGCGTCTGATTCCTCAGGTTTGCTGCTGCTGCAGAGTGAGATTCCCTCTCTTCTCGTGGCCATCTACGTGCTTACTGTGCAAAAGGTAGCCGAGAAAAGTTTTGACTGGACCTTCTGAGCGTTTCTTGGAATATTTATTCTTATTCATTTTATCTTTAAACATTGATCCCGTGCTTAAGCTTCACACGAAACACGGAAAGACCGAATTTCTCCAAAACATTAGCCACTGTTATGTTTTTCACTCTTTAAAGGTTTGATAGATAAACGAAGATAAATGATAAGGCAATCAAACTTGTTTTCATGCAATAATTTCTGCAGCTTGATATCAAACGACTGGAGTGTGAAGCACAGGAATTAGAAACTATTTAAGATTTGAATTGTAGTAACACTCATTTGTTTTTGTTCCTCTTGCAGGTCAGTGTGTGGCTCTTGTAGTGCAAAGGTAACTTTAGACATATAATATTTCTTTTATTCCCAAATACTAGCTTGTGTCTCTCTATGTTTTAAATAGTTTTATATATTTGTTTTAATAGTTACACTCATAAAAATACAGCAAGTTGATTTTCATTGCTTGAAGCAAACAATGTTTGTGTATTATTCTCTCAGATTAATTAGCATTTGCCGTCTAATTGACCTATGTCAGTCGTTTGGCCCCATACTTAAAACTGGCCCAGTATTAATGACTGATGTTTATTTCCATCTTGTTGCCATTAGTATATGTGTTTCAGGAGAGAGGGGAAGTGTATCACGCGGCATTTGTTTGGTCATGTGACTCTGATCCAGAGCCGGATTGTTTGGTGTTTAACTGAAGCAGAGAAGCTGAGTCAGCAGTCTGGTCATTTTTTTTTCTTCCTCGTGTTAAAAAGGAAGGGGAATATGTATAATATTGGTTATCAGCCACAGCTGGTAATGTTAATATAGGACATCAACACTGGCCTAAATGATCATGTAGGTGCATCCCTACTCTGTTTATATGGCTTGAATATTAGTTGGTTTATGCGGAGTTTATAATGCAGAGCACATTTTTCAAGTTGAAACAAGTCGGGTGTCTCCATGATCTTCATTTTGTGAGAAAAATGTGAATCAGAAATGAAGGCGATTTAAAGAACCACATTTATCCACCTCTATTATTTCTACTCAGCAACGTCACAATGACAGAAGAACATGTAATTTTAAAATTTTAAACATGTGCAAATTCAAAAGCTTACAGCCTCAGTAGAACAAGTTTATCTCCTGTTAATCTTTTGATTATGTTTATTAGTTGTTTACTTTGCAAGTCAGTTTAAAAATGGTTCATGAAAAGTGTTAAGGAGTGTGAGAAAGGCTGCAGCAGAAACGGGTTAATAAAGGTATTTTAGTTTTTAGCACTGGTTTAATCCGCTGTTGACGTCAAATTTCTTTTCTTTTCTTGTTTTTTTTTTTTTGTTGCTCTTTTTGTTTGTTTTTGTTTTTTCGTTTGTCGCCTCAGTGCCGGCCAGTGTTGGATGTGTGGTTCTGTGCTGTGTAGGTTTGGATTTGTTGTGCTTTGTTGTTTGTGGTCCGTGCGGTGCTGTGGCTCGTCTGTGTTCATGTCACTCTCACCGTTAATTAAAAATGTCTGCATCTGTTTGTACGTGTGTTCAGTGCTTTGTTGCTGTGCAATGAGAGTAAAATAATACTGACCTATTTTACGAATAAATTGTATGAGTCAGTTGTTATTTTAATGAACATCTCTTAATGTCACACGACTGTTTCTTTTCCTCCAACTTTCTGCTTTTTCTGACTGGATGTTGTTCGCGTTTCTTGAATTCAGATGAAGATTCCCTCCAAGAAGATGGCTCATATTCCTGTGTACACGGTGGGATTTCACAGCACCCCAAAAGGCCATGAACACAAAAGCCAAGTCTACAAGTGAGTCTTTGCTTTTATTGAGCAATTTAAAAAGTCTAAGTAACTCGATACCTCTATGTTTGTCCCAGAGAAAAGGTGATAGTGACACAATCAATCTGTCTGCTAAGAGCAGGCTGTTGCCAACAGAATTGGGTCAACTCAACATTTAAGCTAAAAGAAAGTAAAGAGAAGTGTACATTTCCAGTCCCTCCTCCACGGTAGGACAAATATGTGCGTTTTATAGCCGTCAAACCCAGCAGAGGGGAAACGCTGCAACTTTAAGAGTCTTTCATTTGCGGCAGCCATTCACTACCGGACAAAACACCTTGTAGTGGCGACAAGGGAAGCTGTGTTGGGTTCAGGTTCGGCAGGTGAAAACAACATCGTAAAATCTCACCGTTCTCCAGAACCCTGCCACTTATGAACATGTTTACTGGAGCACATTCATACAAATCACTGGTGGGAACCAACGCGAGCCTCACACATCTCAGCTTTATTAGGTGATTTTATGGAAATGTATGACATTTTTTATTTAATTTTTTAACCAAATCTCAACAATTATGAAAGACAGAAAATAAAGACTAGTAGGAGTATTTTTTTAGACTGCAGCCTCTGGTTTATTGGTTTTTTTCAGCAGTATTTCGTTGTGTTTTTCACTGAGGGCGACACTCTGACGCTGCTAGCATTTGATTAAGCAAATACTCTTTGTTGACTTATCTTAATAAAGAGGAGAAGTTACTGTTCCTGGCATCTTTAGAACATTAATTAAACGTTTCTTGCAATGTTTGAAGGTGGTTTTGATTGGTGATTTATTTGATGCTCAGTTTCCAAAATTGTGGAAAAAGTGAAAGATTTGACAAAACACCAGGCCTGAAACTACCTAGAGATGAAGTCCATCTGAAGAACTTTTAAGAAACAGGAATTAGTTTATATATTTTAACCATGTTGTCCATCGGGTTTGAACTTGACCATTAGAGTGGATTGAACCGGGTTGCATTGTTTTCCAGTGTCTAGAGAAGACATTTGTAGTGAATTTAAAAACAACAACAACAGTGAAGCTCTAACTCAGTACCTGAGATATACACCATCTAATTTTGGACAAATTTTGAGCTAGTAATAATTTAGAAAGCAGCCAATGGCGTTAAAATACTATTTTCTGTCTCTCAAACGGTGTCTGAAGTGTTCCTTTATAGAGCGAACTAAGGAAGCGAGAACAGTTTGTGTGTTTTTAAAATCCTGCAGGACTCAAACACGTTACACTGTCCAGGCTCGGTAGCATAACGCTGCACAACTGGAAGATGTGTCACTAAAATGCAACATATATTATTCCAACTAAGAAATGGACACCAAGCTATGAGGCTTAAGTCCTTCCAGTTCAATTCAGATGTTGAGAAGAGGGAGAAAGGTCAGCTGCCAGCACTCAGGCAGGGCAACAAGGGATAAAAACCAGCCTGCAGTCACACTGCACAACTTTCTCCGAACGTCTCTGGCGCTGCTGGATTTCTCTCTCAGGTTATCTTTGCTAATTGGAGCACTAAGTTCTGTCTGTGTGCCGACCGCAGATTCACCTCACAACCACAGATTTCCTTTCACGACGGAAGATTTGATCTAAGGCAGCTGATAATCGCACAGTGTAAACCTGGCTTCAGATTAAGAAAATGTTCTCTTATGCGTTAGGTTATCTCTTGACAAGAATGAAAAAGAGTAAGAAGCATCCAAAGTCCAAAGAAAAACCATCAGGAAGGTCAGAGAGCTGTTGAACCAGACCGCTTTAAAATAATATAAGAAAGCCTGACTAGGAAAAAAAATATATATTTAAAGAAGAAAAACAACAAAATCCACACAAAACAGAAAGTCCAACTAAGCTCAATGCAGGATAACAAACTGAAGGATATCTCCTGATATATGCACAGTGTTGTGTGTGGTGGATTACACTCTGAATTCAGCTAACTTAACGTTAAATGTTCAACGGAAACTCAGGCAACAAGACAGCTGAGCTTTTTTTTTTTTTTTAACTCACATTGGGAATGAAGACGGCCTGACTCTGGACATAAATTAATTGTAAAACCAAGTAATATTTAACTGTTGTTTCCCTGTATTTATCGTTTTATTTGTAGTTTACATTCCTTAATGTTTAAAGTTCCTCTTTATCCCACTTTTTATCCCATTAGTGACAATTTACTAACTTTTCCCCATGTAAGTACTAGAAGCTGGCCTCCTCTATCCAGTCACCTCCACTAACTCACTCCCTCCTTCCTTTGTTGTGTAATCAGTGCAGCGCCTCCTACACGGCCTCTAAGCAGCCATTATGTAATAATTACCCAGCTGTCACTACGATCCTCCCGCCTTGAAGGCAGCCAGTCGGTGTGAAGCCGGAGCTGGTGTGGTGTCGCGTTTCTCTCCTGTCAGGGAGGTTTTTCATTTTACGACTGAGATTGTTGTTCTTTCAGTCAGACGGCTCAGTCTTCTCCACAGTGGCTGATTTTCCTGGCTCACCGCTGAAGCATCGTTTTTATGCTTTAGTTCACTTCAAAATTTGATGTGCTTTCCATTCATCCAAGCATTTCATCCACTTGAGATCATAGATATAAAGCCTTTTTTTTTATTGTCTGTTTTTACTCTGCTTTTACACCCTTTTTGGTGGAAAGGAACACAAAATCTACGTAATCTTCCAAAACTATAAGTTGCAAAGGGAACTATTTGGACTGAGACAGTCAGACTGCATATTATTGCAACACTTTTTCCTTAAATTGAAATGGCTAACAATCCTGCCAAAAGTGTAAACATACATAAATGTGTCAACTATTTTGAGCTGCTTACTACCAGAACATAGAAAAAAAGATTTTTATGCTCTTTTTGTCACGATGTACAATATTCTCCAAAAATAAGTTGCAAAGTGGACTACATGTCGTTATCGCAGTATTGGCTAAACTACTGGTAATAAGCAATCCCACTTTATTTTGATGCATTATTAAGTTTTGGAGAATTTTGTTTACATTTTATTTTTTTTACAACCAGAAAAAAAAAGTAAAACCCTTTTATAGGAGTAAAACGTTCTCGCTCACAAAAGTCTGATAATGTCAGATTTGCGTAGTTTTTCAGTTTCAATGATCCAAACCTTTCATCTGAACTAAGCAAAAAAATATAAACACTCTAATGTGGGCTAAGCCTCGTTAATCCCCCCCAAACCCTTCAATTTCTCTCCAGGCTGCAGTTATCCTTGTGCATCTTTTTCTTACAGATGTTTTCCTTCCACTCAGCTTTCCATATGTATGTTTGGATACTGCGTTTCACTTTTTGAATTGAATTACCGAAACAAACTAGACTTTCAGTTCCGTTCTACTGTAACATGATGCGCTTGTGTGTTATCCCAGTTATAGACACAATGTTGTAGTTATTTGTCTACATGTCTGATTCATATACGATGTGAAGACACCCCCATCCTCCGTTTCCGCTCGCAGATCCCTGCGGACTCTGTCCCGCCACTCGGTGGAGGAGGAGTTCCCGCACCTGTACGCTCACGGCTGCACGCTGCGCGACATCTGCGCCGAATGCACAAAGTTTGTCGCCGACGTCATCTCCTCCAGCCGCCGGAGCCTGGACATCCTCAACAACACTCCAAAGAGAGAGGCCAAAGCCGCTCAGAGGCCACAGCTGCAGCGGCAGTCCAACTTCGAGGCTTCGCCTCAACCAAATCACCATCACCACCAACCACCTTCATCGCAGCTCCACCGCAGCGAGACGGTCCGCAGCACGAAGCAATGACTGGCTCAGACTCTGACCTCACTGTGCACACCGTTTGTATTTAAAGAAGGGAGGGCTCTGCGAGGGTTTGCGGCGTGTCTTAATGATCATATAATCCAGTAAAGGTGCTTCAAAGTTAATTTTGCTGGGTTGGAGCATTAAATGTATCATTTAATAGTCGAGTTTAGGTCTAAAAGATAAAAAAAAAATCACTGAAGCTGTTAAGAACTCTTTAGCAAGAATGTAGACATGCCAGCTTTTTTGCACAACTGCTTTACCTTCCTTATCTCACCATCTTCACTCTCAACACACTTGTTGACTTAAATCTCTCTCTCTTTCTGCATCTGCCCTATCTGCTGCACCAAACCTTCACTCGTCACTCACGCATTTTGGGGCGGGAGGGGTTCAATCAGAGGCGGGGAGCGCTGGAGGTCGAGAGGCAGGGCTTTGCGAGGTTAAAAAGCTGTGCAGTGTTGCATTAGCGTTTAACTCTAATGGGTTGCCTTGTTTTTGTCCTGAATGTACCTTACAAGAACAAAATTGTAAACTTAATAGCTTGTAAACAATAAAATATTTATTTTTAACCGTTAAAAAGGGGAGTTGAAAACAATCTGCTGCTGCGTAACGAGGCCTCTCTGGCGACGCTTGTGAAGACCCCAGACCTGCAGCGGGGTGGGGAGGGTTAGGTTCGGGGGGGGCGGGAAACGTCAGCGACACTGTGAATGTAACCGGGTGAAGCTGCGGGCCGCACCTTTAGCCGACGTTAGCATGACTAGAGAGGCGAGCAGGTGAATCTCCCGCCTCTCTCACTTCCCACATGGACGCTTTGCAATCTGTTCTGGTTTTGTAAACACAAAGTGAACCTCGGCTGCAATAAAGATCCAGTGACAAAACACGACCAGTGCTGCATCTGCGAGTTTTTTACTGTGGGCTCACCAAACAACAGAGGAGCACAGCTGTCCTGCAGTAGCACAAATTTGACTGATCAGAAAGAGCAGTTGGTACGTTGCAGTGAGCGTTTTGGAGTAAAGAGTGGCTCACTCTTTAATGTCTGTTCAAGGCTGCTGCTTTTTGTTAATGTTTTTGTTTCAGTACTTTTGCGGTGATGTTTAGATGGCTAGAAGGAGGTATTTGACCTTCTGGGCTTCCTGGGTTTTGGTGCTCTGCATGGGTGAAAAGTTGGCAGCAAAATATGCAAGATATTTTGGTTAATTTTATGTGTAATGTTATTTATAGACTGTTCTACCTGTGTCTCTCAGTTGCAACAAAAAAGGGTTTGTGATAGAAAATGTAAGCATATTTTTTCTCCCCGTGTCTCCCAGTCTTCAAATATTCATTCATTCAGAAAATGTAACCTTTTTAATAAATTTATTAAAAATAATTTTATACAACTATTTAAAAACTGCATTTTCAATAGGACAAAGACTATTTATTTTTGAAAGGCACATAAAATAAGAACTATGATACAAATTAACTTTTTCCTAATATACAAATGGCAACAAAAACTATAATTTACATCAATTCACTAGTGTTATGTAATGATAAAGTAAAAAGCTAAAACCACTGGAAGAACATTTTGATAACCAAGAGGGTTAATTTAAAAATAAATTAAAATGACAGTAACTGTAAAGTGGATCTTGCTTTTAAGTGAGTCCCAACCATTTATACCTGAAGAGCAAAATGAATTGAAAAATATTTTTAAACGTTTGTAAAATGAGCAGAAGTGAGTGTCTGCTTCATGGTTTCTGAAAGTGGTACTGATGGGAAAATGAAAGTGTCCTGTAAGCAGTAAGCAGAGGCTTCGCTTTCTTGTCAGGGATCAATGCGGCCTGTACGGAAGCCCCGCCTCTTGAGCATGAATAAATAATTAGGTCTTCGCTCCTATTGGCTGCTTCCTCCTGTCATCCGGCTCTGACTTTACTCTCCCACAGAAACTGATGACTCAAAAAGGAAAATGGGTGATTATACTTTCACAATAAAAGCATAAACAAATCGCAATGAATCTTTCTTTGACTCAATATTTTAACCATAGTTTTAAAAATTTACATTTTTGATGCTGCAATTTATGTCTGATTATTTAACTTTTATTATAATTTTGTAGTTTATTTATTTCCAACATAATCCAAATTTACCAAGTATTTGAAAAAAACAAAATGAACGAACAAAATAATACATTAACCGATATTATAATAAATAACATATAATATCATATTAGTAAGAAAATGAATCGCAATGTATTTATATAACCCATATTATTGGAAAGTGAATATTTTTATGTGATATCTTTCCTGTTTTTGTGTCTGCCTAAATTTTTGTTGATGTTTTTCTTAATGAGATTGGGTATTGAGCCAATATTATTCAAATAAAAAACAAATTTGGGTAACAAAGAATTTAGTTAAAATTTAATCACAATTCAATTTAAAAATACTATTTGAGGGATATTAAATATTGTAACTCATAATTGTCGAGGAAGTTGTGGAAATTGTGGTCTCCTGTATAGGTCTTTGTTACAAGCAAGTCTTAAAAACCTCTGACTGATTTGTTGTTGTATAACAGTCTGATGAAGAGACTGCAGAGTTGTCCATAATTTTCTCTATTTTCTGAAGAATCCCTTTTTTTTCGCAGTCACCTCCAGATGTTCCAGAACCATCCCCAGAACAGAACCAGCACTTTTTTTTTTTTTATCAAGTTGTGTAGCTGTTTTAGTTCCTTCCCTGATGCTGCTACCCCACACCTGGGATGAGTTTGGACCTGTTTTTGCCTTCAGAACTGTTCCAATTCTTTGTGACTGAACAGTGTCAGAAATCTTTGATTTTAGATTTGTTAGATGAACTCAGCATGACCTACTGTTGTGTTTTTTTTTGTTTGGTTTTTTTTTTTGTTCACTGCATGTTGTCACTTGTTCTGACCACTCTCTGTAAAGTTGAGAGATGACTGTGTATGGAAATTTCAGCAGATTATCAGTTTCTGAAATATTCACAATGGCCTGTCATCAACCACCATTCACCACATATATCCCTGGACAGATTGGCTGATTTGTTATTTGAGTTGACAGGGAATTTAACTGGTACATCTAATAAAAGTGGCCGATATGTGTGCATACATTTCCATCATATAAATTTTTTAAATCATGGAATTTTTACAAAATTAAGGCTCCCGCAGCAGCGGTACGTCCTCAGGAAATTGTATTATTTTTCTAAGAATATTATACAAAAATCGTGTTAAAAGTAATTTTCTAACGATAGTCTTTTGGAATAAAGTGTTCTCAGGTTGCCTTGATTCTCAAAACCTATGATAAAATGTTTATTTCGGTGATTTTGACAGCTTTTATTTTGAAAGGTTTTAGCGGATGTGACAGGGTTGTCCTCCTGCTAACTTCAGTGGAAGTCGGTCAGCTTTAGAGCTTGAACTAATCAACAAGCCCTCCGAGGCTTGCCGCTCGCAGCCGCTTGTTCTCCTCCTCTCCTTGTGTTCTTGGAGTCCCTGTGTTCTCCCCCTCCACCCAAGTGGGAGTGGGAGTGGGTGTGTCGATGCGAACCAGTGTAGCTTCGTCGCTGCTTGTGCGCACTCTGAAAAAGAGGAAAAAGTTGATGATGAGTTCAGAGTGAGAGCGGCCCGCCTCGGAGCAGGCTAACCGTCGGGGAATGGCAGTCTGGACCAGAGCGGACAAAAATGGCCAGCTGGACCTTCTGCTCCGCGACCGCTGGATCCGAGTGGGGGCCGAACTCACGCGGGAGACGCTGACTTTAACGGCCGAGGCGGAGGTGAGCGGACAGGGGGGAAATCACTGGGACTACCCGTCGGCTGGCCTCCGAAATGGCATGTCGAACGGAAACGACCCAGGATCGAGCCCGGGGAACCCTGGTCGCGGTTCCTCCTCGGGTCAAGACCAACTTCAGAATCAGAATCACGTGGTTCGAGGGCGCAGTAGCAGCCCGGGTCGAGGAAGCGTCAGCCGGAGTCAGTACGATGGAAACTACGGTGTAAACAGTTCTGGAAAGTACCAGGTGAACGGCGCAAACTCTGACTTCGGGAGCCCCGGCTCCGGCTACGGGAGTCCCGGGTCAAGCTTCGGGTCGAGGCAAGGCGACCCCCCGGTCAACTTGGACGGCTCCTCCGAAGCGGTGCGGAAAGTCCGAGTTGTCAAACAAGAGTCCGGCGGGCTGGGGATCAGCATCAAGGGAGGGCGGGAGAACCGGATGCCCATCCTCATCTCCAAGATCTTCCCGGGGCTCGCCGCTGACCAGAGCCGAGCGCTCCGGGTGGGCGACGCGATCCTGTCCGTGAACGGGAACGACCTCCGGGAGGCGACCCACGACATGGCGGTCCAGGCGCTGAAGAAGGCCGGGAAAGAAGTCACGCTAGAGGGTAAGCGGGCCAACGCGAGAGCGGGGATTTGAAAAGGCCGAGATTAAACTCCGCGGTCTGAACACACTTACCAAACTTTTAGACACTCAAGTATACAACAGGTGGCGGTTAGTACTATGAATATTTACTTACCAATTTAATTGTACACTTGAAAAATTATAAATATAGACTAAAGAAACTTTCAGTCCAGAGCCAAACTCAACAGGTCACCAGTTTAGGGCAAAGTGAACCTTCAGCTCAACATGGACCCAGACTGCTCTTCTTGAACTAATGTTAAGTGTTTTGTAAACTTTCATACTTTATTTGTTGTTTTGTAAGGTAAAATAGTAGAAAACCAACCTAAATAAAAACTTATTTTACTCAATCTATTACCAGAAGTAGATACAGAAGCAGAGTCGGTTCAGCTGAACATACCACCTTACATCTGTGTAAATGTAATCCCCGTTTTGGTCAGGGGTCTCCAGGGGTCTCAATAAATCAGAACATCATTAACAAGTTAATTTATTACAGTGATTATTTCCAAACAGTGAAAGCTATCTACTATTTAGATTATTTACAGGCAGAGTATACTTTTTTTTATGTCTGGCAATTTTGAGGATTATGGCTTATATCTAGTGAAAACCAAAATTCAGTTTTGCAGAACATTTTTATATTACAATTGCTGATAGAGAAACTTCCTCACAATAATGGTGAAGACTGCTTACCTGAGCTTACCTGAGTCCATGTGGTAAATCACAACAGGCCATTTCAAAAGATGGATGTTCAAACATTTTACTGGAAAGTTGAGCAGAAGGAAAACGTTTGGCACAAAAAGATACAATCAACAGGGTTAACCACAGCCTTGCAAATCTTGTGTTAAGACACTTCTGAATTAGAGAGAGTGTCTAAAGTCTTACTTGGGATGAGGACATAAAAGATGGGACTGTTGCTTAGTGGTCCTAATTGCTCTGTTTCAGATGAGTTTGGATTTCTCATGTAATTGGGAAATGAAAGTCTGAGGTGCGATCCAGTGTTTCTAGAACCAGCAATGCAGATAACATTTTGGCCGCTATCAAAACAATATGGGCTTTCATTACACCTAAACGGAAACGCAGGGGGATCGTCTCCATGTCACGTCACATTGACGCAGTAATTCATGCAAAAGGAGCCCCGACCGAGTAATGAGTCCATCTACAGTAAAATATTTGGACAGGCTTTTCAGTAGCCTGGCATTTTGCATTATAAACTCCTTATTTGACTTATGTAAAGTTCACATTTTCTGGGATACTAAATTTTGGGTTTCCATTAGATGCAATCCATTTGTATTCAGAATTAACTATAAAAGACAACTATAACTATGGAGTTATGAAAGGAGAAATAATACCAGAATTAATTCAAAACAAAACTTTTAGTGGAAACTGGAGTTTAACCACTGCCCTTGTCAGGCTTAAAGGCACTACATTTAATTAAAAGTTAAACTTTAGCAGATGGGATTTGTTTGTTTGTGTCCTTGACATGCAAAGTGAATATTATGGAGTGTTTTTTATAGTGTGTAGTAATGCATCGGTTAGTCTTTTCCTGCCTAAAACTGATTTTGGGGTTTTGACGTTTTTGAAATTTCTTTCTTTCCGAGCACTACAGACAATAAAGTACAGAGTACAAATGTGCCGCCAGTTCTTAAACGTAGTCGTTTTAAATCCATAAAACATGAAAGAATTACGTGATTATTACACATTTTTGTCCCAAACTAACACGCTGCTTATTTTTTTTTTTTTTTTTTTTATTTTTAGCCAATAGGGGGAAGAAAATCAGATTTTTCATTACTTGAACCAGTCAGAACCGATTAACAGTTATTTTATGCCATCCTAAGAAAACACAGTCCCGTCTTGACATCTGAGCAGATGGAGAAGTTCAAGCTGCATTGATTCAAATCAGCTGAACACAAAGCCTTTGATTAGTGTAAACAGGAATCTAAGCACAGCTGTGGTCAGGTTTGCATGTTAAAGGATCAAAGGTCAATGCAGGATTCAAGAGGTTTATTTGTGTAAATCTTTACGAGCTCTCACCATGTGCAAAGCCAGCTTCATGCTTTCTTATATTTGGTGGCATTTTGCCATTTGAAATAAAAATGACTTTTTAAGAAAACCATCTACTGACTACATGAATTGGGAAAATGTGTATTGATGAAAAATATAACAATACTAGTAATGATGAATCTTTTCTTGCAGTTGTGTTATTATATATTGACTGCAGCTCAACATATTTTGCATCAATAATACAGATGTATCACTCCACGTACAGCCAGAACCTTGCAAAAACAAACCTAATCCACTTCACTACAACAGTTGAAGAAAAGTAAATGAGGAGTTGCATGTGATTAGATTTTGGTGCACATTTTAAAGTTGCGCGTTTACTGAAACCCTATTTGTTGTTTTTTTTTGTTGTTGTTTTTTTGGATTGAGTCCATCACCACAGTTTAACTTGACTAAATTAGGCCAACGGGACATTCAGGTGACTCATAGCAGCCCAGTTTAATTTGTTCTAAATGTCAAAGCCAAACTCGTGTTTTACTTTTAACTGCAGGTCAAAAGTTTGCTGCAAATTCTCTCGACGGGAGGTAACCGTGGCAGCTAATTGTTGTCATCTGAGGAGATTGTTGACGATGTTTTTTATCTCGATGAGCGCTCCACAACCGGCACGGTGAAGTGTGCTGACGGTGTGAAGCCATGGTGTCCTGAAGTTATCCAGCTGTTAGTCACGTTAAAAATTAATCCGGTGCAGTCATGTGAAACAAAAACCATCCCACGATATCTTTGTCTGATGTTGTTTTTTTTATTTTTCTCTGGAAAAGAAATCAATTCGGTTTCAGATAAACACACACACACACACAAAAAAAAAATACCAGCGTTTTACTCTTTAAACAAAAGATTTTAACAAAATTGTGTGTTCTAGCTGAGGGAAAAGGTTAGGACACCCTAATCATTTTTTTATGTATATTTTCCCTCTGAAACAAAGTAGCATTCAAGATGGATGCAGTGGTTTTCCACTGGACAGGCCCTGCTACAGCACAGCAGTCTCAAACCATGACGTGTTCACCTCCGTGCTTAGCAGTGACTGTGTGTGACTGTTGCATCGTTTTAGCCATTTAATGAATTAGTTTTATGATTAAGTCAATATTACTTTTATTTCTTACTCTGTGTTGTCGTTGGTGTATAGTGTTTCTGTTAATCTTTATTTTCCTCTGTCCACTTTATACTGCGACAGCATAACTTTCCCACTTTTGGGACTAAATAGTCATCTTATTTTGGGGCGTCCTACTTTCTTCCTCATTAGAAATATAATTTTATTCCATTCATTATGGATCATTGTTCATTTGTAAAACTCAAAATCATCAGTATTTTTTAATGTTTCTTGTGACTTTATCATCAGAGAATCATGCTGATGTTGTTATTTGAGTCAGAAGAAGCCTGTGGCGTTGTTTGTAATGAATCTGAAAGAGAATATTTAATGCAACCTGATTATATGAAACACCAAAGCCAGAGGTGACGTGTTTGTCGTGAAACCCGCCACACCAACGCTTCATAAACCAGCATTAGGGTCCCAAACCGGGAGCGTTTTTTGTTGAACGTCAGTTGAAAAGAGTTGACGACAGGCGGACTGCAGAGCCCTGAGGGTTTGGAAAGTTAACATCGGGAACAGCTAAAAGCTGTGTTTAATGGCTTGGAATAAACGTGGGTTGAATACTGACCAGCGCAAATTGTAGGAACTAATCAATGAGGGACACATTTCCACTGAAGTCAAAACCAGGCCTGTTGTGTTCCTCCCAACATAAAACCAAGTGAACGCAACAGACGTTTTGAGCAATCTGCTCTGTGAAAATGTTACTTTTTTTAAATTAATTTTTTCCCCCCACTCAGGATCAGATTTGTCAAGCTATTTATCTTTTATAATCAGAGAAACAGCAGAGTCTTTATGCTTCCCAGGAATGAAACGTGTTGGTTTGAAACCACAGATTGAACTTTGCCTGCTGGCGCCTGTGTGAAAAGCAGCGACCCTCCCCACCCCCGTCCCGGGCGCGCCCAGGAGGACAGCTCCGGGTGCCGCTGCAGGAATCTGTCAGCTGCCTGTCATCGGAGCGTTTGTGGATCTGCCACTGCTTTGTGAAAGGAGCGGCGGTCAGTCAGAGTGAGGCCTGACCTTCCAGAACGCAGTGGCAGCACACAAATGCATAAACTCCCAGATATTCCCTCAATTAGCTCCGGAGCCCCACATTCCTGACCTCCGCTCACACGTGCTTATTTGGGGCAGAGGTCAGTCATCTGACTTGGACGGTTCGTGCTCCTCTGTGGCCTTTAGCGATTTTAATTATTCATGTTGGAGAGATTGATCCGGAGCCACTTCTGTAAGCAGAAAATAACCAGCCGTTGTTCCAGTGATCAGCTGCACGCCCTGCACAGGGAGGTTTATGGCCTGCGTCCCGCTGTTTAAACTCGGTCACACAAACTCTTGTTCCTTTCTGAGCTCTTCCAGGAATGGCACTCACGCTGCCTTCACTGCAGCTCAGTTCAGCCTGTTCTTCTCCTAACACCTTTAACATGCCTGACTCACGCTTACTTTACACTTCTTTAAGTAGATGAAGCACTTAATGCTCAGGCCGGCGTTTGTTACTCTCCCGAAGCTTGCAAGCAGAGCTGAAACAATTAATCGGATGAATCGTGATTAATAAATGTATGAAATCAATAACTAATTTAATAATCGATTAATCGTTAACTTGAGTAGAGACTCAAAAAAAATAGATGAAAAAGATGAAGCTAATCCAAAATTATATAAAATATGTATACTTTTTGCATTAATGATAAAACACCTTTGACAAAACTAGTATTAACGTTCACACAGTTCAAATTCACTAAGTGAATGCTGTGTTCCTTTTTAGCCAATCAAATGTTTGATGTCTTATTTTTTAAAAATGAGTTGAATTTTGCTTATTTGCATCCATTAATGTATTTCTAATATTGTATTAA